GGTTGGGGTGCCGGATTCTGTCCCGGTTGCCCCTCTTCCAGGCCAGCTCTCTGCTATGGCCAGGGAGTGCAGTGGAGGATGGCCCAGGTGCTTGGGCCCTGCACCCCATGGGAGACCAGGAAAAGCACCTGGCTCCTGGCTCCTGCCAGGATCAGCGCGGTGCGCCGGCTGCAGCGGCGGCCATTGGAGGGTGAACCAACGGCAAAGGAAGACCTTTCTCTCTGTCTCTCTCTCTCTCACTGTCCACTCTGCCTGTCAAAAAAAAAAAAAAAAAAAAAAAAGAAAAATAAAAAAAAAGAGTGATTGATTTGAAAGGCAGAGCAACAGAGAGGGAGACAGAGAGATCTTCTGTTTGCTGGTTTACTCCCCAAATGTTCACAATGCCAGGGGCCTAGAACTCCATCCAGGTATCCCACGTGGGTGACAGGGGCCCAAGCACTTGGGCCATGCTCCACTGCCTTCCCAGGTGCATCAGCAGGGAGCTGGATTGGAAGCAGAGCAGCCGGGACTTGAACCAGCGCCGACATGGGATGCTGGTGTCACAGGTGGTGGCTTAACCTGCTGTAGCTCTCGCTGGCCCTGGGCCTCATTTGCTTTCTTGGTGAACTAAACCCAATACTTGTCTCATTGGATGAGAATCTATGTCAACACGTGGCACCATGCCTGCTGCATGATAGGTGTCCGGGAGAGCGTGGCCATGCCTGTGTCTGGAGCCTTAGATTTAGGCTGGGGGAGAGAGGGCGTCGGGGATGCACAGTTCCTCTGAAGCCCTACCTCAGGGAGCAGAATGGATATACGGTCCTCCACTGTCTGTTTGTCCTTTGGTCTTATCTGTCCATCCATCTACCCATCTTGCATCGGTGGATCTGTCACCCTTGTGTCCATGCTGCCCGTCATTCATTTGTTGAACACGTCAGCCAGGCTCGCCGGTTTCATGGACTCAGTGTGCAAAAGTCCCATGTGATCCTTGCCTTCCAGGGCTCATAGTCAGTGAGGAGGACGACGAGACAGGCAAGTCCAAGCTGGGAGATGAGAGGTGAGGTTTGTGGCAGGGAGAGGGGAAGGTACCTGCAAGGAATCACTCTGGTGAGGTGGTGCTTCAGGTGGGGCTGCGGGGTTGGCCTGTGGGACGTGGGTAGGCCCTGGTCGGTGGGGTGAAGGCAGAGTGTTGCCGGTACGCCCAGGCCTGCACAGCTAGTAGAGTCCACAGCTGCCTGCACAGTGGCTGTGTAGTGTGTGTGCATGTGTGTGTGTGTGTGTTTGGAGGTGTCGTCGTGTGTGGATTGTGTTGGGGGTATGTGTGATTCTGTGTTTAGGGGTGAGTCTGTGCATGTAGATCTGGGGAGCTATGAGTCTGTGTGTGTGGGTCTGTGGAGTGTGCGTGTGGAGTATGTGTATGGGTGTGAGTGTGTGGATGTGGGTCTGTGTGGAGCGTGTGTGAGTCTGGCTATGTGGGGATCTGTGTAGAGTATGTGAATGTCTGTGGGTGTGTATGGATCTGTGTGTGTGTGTGTGTGTGTGTGTAGGGGTGTGAGTGTGTGCATGTGGGTCTGTGTGGAGTCTGTGTGTGAGTCTGGGTGTGTATGGATCCCTGTGTGTGTGTATGGAGGTGAGTGTGTGGATGTGGGTCTATGTGGAGTGTGTGTGTGAGTCTGGCTACGTGGGGATCTGTGTGGAGTGTGTGTGTGAGTCTGTGGGTGTGTATGGGTCTCTGTGTATCTGTGTGTGTGTGTAGGGGTATGAGTGTGTATGTGGGTCTGTGTGGAGTATGTGTGTGTCTATGGGTGTGTATGGGTCTCTGTGTATCTGTGTGTGTGTGTAGGGGTGTGAGTGTGTACATGTGGGTCTGTGTGGAACATGAGTGTGAATCTGGCTACGTGGGGATCTGTGTGGAGTATGTGAGTGGGTGTGTATGGGTCTGTGTGTGTGTGTAGGGATGTGAGTGTGTGCATGTGGGTCTGTGTGGAGTCTGTGGGTATGTATGGGTCTCTGTGTATGTGTGTGTGTAGGGGTGTGAGTGTGTACATGTGGGTCTGTGTGGAACATGAGTGTGAATCTGGCTACGTGGGGATCTGTGTGGAGTATGTGAGTGTCTGCGGGTGTAAGAATCTGTGTGTGTGGTGTCTGCACAAATGTGCACATTGCTTGGGTGTGAATCTGTAGCTTGTCAGGTTCTCAGCTCTGTAAACTGAGAGACTGAGCCCTTGGGCGGGAAGATCCTTACAGCCCCTCCGTGTCTCGGATGCGTTGCTGTGGACAGACCTGGCCGGGGCGTCTGCCCGTCGGGGAGGAGGAAGGACCCTCTGACCCTGCTGAGCTTGCACACCTGGGGACAGGTACAGGAGGGCTCACGCCAGGCCCTCTCTGTGGCCAACATCTGTGTGGCCTGCCGCACGTGTAGGGGGCTCACTCAGCTCCCTGGGTTTCTGGCAGGTACACTGAGGCCTGTGTGGATTCTGCCTGCACACTGCCAGGCCTGTGGGTGGTCTCTGCGGGCCGTAGAACAGGGGCTCTGAGAAGCTGTGGGACTAGAGAAGATGGGGATCGGGGGAGGGTCAGCTTGTGGGCGAGGCAGGGCCAGGTGCCCTAGGTGTGCATGGGGAGAAGAATGCACTGGGAAGATGGGAGGGGCCTGGAGGCGGGACCTGGGTGATGGACTGGTGCCGCGGTAGCTGGGAGTGGGGTAGTACCTAGTCCTGGCCCATCTGCACATCACTTGCTCAAGAGCCAAAGCCCCTGACCCAGCCCTGGTGACCTGTCACACGCTGTCTGCTGGGTGCAGGCTGCAAGGCCCGGTGAAGACTCGGAAGTTGGGAGACCCAGGACTGGGAAGGGCAGGGCTCAGCCATGCGGGAGGGCAGGTCTGCGTGGATCTGGCTGCCCAGGCGGGGCTGGGAGTCTCCGTCAGCGCCTGCTGCCCGGTCCACGTGGCTTTTCTGCTTCTTACTCTGTGTTTCCTCGGTTCCCGGGTCCCCTACCTCATCAGCCCTCGAGGGGCTCAGAGCCCACCCACTCACTTGTTCATTCCTTCAGGCCCAGGGTGGACAGCGACAGGCAGAATGTGCTTGGTCCCCTCCCCTGTGGTGTGGGGTCCCACAGGCACATATTTTCCGGGCCGTGTGTGGGGTCTGTGGATACAGAAGAGGGAGGGGCATGGGTCTCCTCTGCCTCCCTCTTCCTTTCTGTCCTGATTGGCTGTTGGGTCCCACAAGGGTCACCCAACAGGCACCGCCCAGGCCCACTCTGCGCCCCCAGGGTCAAGGGGATGGCTCACGTCCGCACTGTACACCTGGCCGTACCTCCTGAGTACCTCGTATTGCTGCTGGGATAGAGGACCACTGACTCAAAACCACACAGGGCACAGTCGTGGCGGTCCAGAGTCTAGCACGTGTCCTGCCTGGCTGAAGCCAAGGCATTGGCAGGGCTGGCTCCTTCTGGAAGCTCCGGGAGAGGACCTCTCCTTGCCACTCAGCTTCTGCAGCTGCATCCACTCCTTGGCTCATCCCCTCTGCTTGCCTCTGGCTCTGACCTCCTGCCCACCTCTGACAGGGACCCTTGTGATTGTATTGGGCCCCTGGATGATCCAAGCAAGCTACCCATAAGAGCCCCAGCTCAATCCCACCTCTGCAGTCTCTGCCATGCCAGGAAACCTAACCACAGCCGACTAAGATGTGGATGGCTTGTTCTCCCCTGCCCCACTGCCCCAGCCACCATGCTGGTGAGAAGCGGAGAGGCGATCGAGGGCTGGGGTACTGGAGCCAGCCAGCTGCGGGCAAAGGCCCTCACATCGCCTCCCAGCTCTGGCTCGGGGACGCCCAGGGAACTGGCGCACACTGTTGTCAAGCACTGGTCAGTATACACCGGCTGCGGCTGCCACTGACGCCGCTTTTGATGGAACATTTGCACGTGCCAGGCGCCACGCTAGGTCGGTGCTAATGGGCGAAAGCCCAGGAGTCAGGCCCCACCCGGGGCTGCTTCCCCTCTTCAGCCTCTGTGGCCTGGACAGGTGTCCTAGGCTTGGGTAGTCGAAGGCCTTTGAACCCACACCTGTTGGAGGCTCAGCTGTGGCCGCAGAGCTTGTGTCCCAGCGAGGCTCACTGGGAATCTTGGGCGAATCTGTAGGGTTTGAAGTGAGTCTCTGCTGCACCTGCCACTTCTCAGGGCTGCCCTGCAAGGATTGCACAAGCCAGGCCACACACGGGGCCGGGCACTGCGTCTGACGCACCCACAGACACAGCATCGCCGTTGCCATTAGCAGGGCTGCTAGAGAGGAAGGTGCGAGCAGCAGTGGCAGGCACCAGGCTGGCCGTGGCTCCCTCAAGCCGCGTGGTGGCGAGTGGGCTTGATGAGGACAGTAACGACGGAGGCTGCCCAGCACCGCTCCACATCTGCTACAGGAATTGTCCGCAGCCTCCCTGCAAGATCAAGGTCGTCGTCCCCATCTTACGGACGGGAGAGCCTAGGCTGAGTTGCCCAAGGTGGAGGGAGGATCAGGTGTCACTGCCATCCTGTGGGTTTTCACCAGGGTCCGCCTGAGCAAAGGCCTGTCTTCCTCCGCTTACTTCTGCAGTTGTCAGGACCCTGTCGTGGTGAAACACACAAGCTTGGAAGCCAGCCCACCTTGGATTGTATTGCACTTAGTTGTGAGGTCTTGGGATCTTGCTTTTTCTCTCTGTGAAGTGGGCATAGTCACGGAAGCCCGTGACAAGGCTGTGTCTAAAGAACTGATGAGAGCATAGGCAGATAACAAAGGCTGGGAGCTAGGGCAGGCCTGGCGCAAAGGAGACCCCCCCAGCTTCCAACGTCACCTGCGCCCTGCTCCCAGCCATTTCATCCCGGCCCTTGCCCATGCCGGGCAAGTCAAGATATGTGTGCACGGTTAGTGCTGTCCAGCCAACTGGGGCTGTGTGGCAGGCTGGGGCTCGCTTGCTGGACCTGTGAGATGCTCGGAGTTGCTGCAAGCTGGTGACCACGTTGCTGTCCTGTTCTTGTCGTTGCAGGCTGCGAACAGCTACCTGCGAGACCAGTGGTTCCATTCCCTGCAGTGGAAGGTAAGTCCTGACTGTACCGCTCAGCTGCAGCACAGCCATGAGAGTCAGGCTCGTGTTACCCAGGGCTGGGAAGGGGAGAGCTCAGGTCCCGGTCCCCTGCCTGCTGACCGGGCGTTCCTGCCCAGCTGGGAGCCATCCAGCTGTTTCCCTGCTTTCCAAAGGATCGTGCAACTTTTCCTTCCTGGAATGAGGTGACCTGAGGAGCTGGAGAGCCCGGACTTCAGGGGCTCAAGATGCTGGGTTGCCTGAACTTGGGAAGACTACAGCAAGTGTCAGCTGGCCTGAGATTCAAAACCCCAGCCCTTGTTCCATAGTCTGCTTCTTTCCAGTTGTCTGGCTCTCTGGCCTCATTCCTCAGTTCCAACTCTGTGCTGGATGGTTCAGAGTTACCTGGCACGGGGAGGGAGTTAGTCTCCTGCCAGTGACTTTCAAGACCTTGGGGAAATTTCCCAGGCAGGGGCCCTGAGCACCCCTGGGAGTTGAGTGCTGCTCCGGGGCCCTGGTGTTAGGCCCTGACCTTGGGCCCGGAGCATGGAGCCCACATGGCGAGCTGCGCGTCCTCGTCCTGTCTGCCTGTCACTCCCGCCCTCTGATGGGTCCAAACAAGCTGTGACAGGCTCTGGCTCCGTGAAGCCAGCAGGGAGTGGCTGGAATGACAGGTGGCTGTCCAGAGCTGTCATCCTCACAGGGAGCTGGAGAGCCGAGGGGGGTGGCCGGCTGGCCCGCATGGGGCTCGGCATTCCCCTCGTGCCTCTGCAGGGGCCCTTGCCACAACAGACGGAGGGTGGAAGGACAACCCTGGAAATCTGTCTCCCTGGGCCTGCCAAGGGGCACTCCACGCCTTCCTGGTCAGCAGCCCGTGTTCTCACTTTGAGTCTGTTGGGCAGAGTCCCAGAAGCAGAGCAGGCATCTCCAATTTGGGGCTGCAAAGGGGAAGAAACTAGCACGTCCTGAGCCCCTGCTGCGTGCCAGGGTCTGCGCCAGGCGCCTCGTGTCCATCTCACCCACTTTACAACTTCATGAGTGCCATCATCACCATTGCTCCCATTTTACAAATGGGAAAGGTGAAGCAGGTGGAGTCCAAGGCCCTTTTATTAGTAAGGATCAAGGCGGGGTTCACACTGGTCTTCAAGTACCTGTTTCTGGATATAGCAGAGTGGGAAGGCACCAGGGGGCAGCTAAGAAGGTAAGGGGCACACACCTGCTGATGCACCAAGAGCTGCTGCCAAGAGTTCATTGTCGGGGTGGGGGGGGAGCATCCCTGGTGCCTGGTTCTCGGCGTGCCCAGGTACAAGGGTGCCCACGGGACAGGCAGGCACTCGTCAGGACCTGCTGGGGCCGTCTATCAGTTAGGTACCAGAGCAGTCAAGAACGAGGAATGTCACTGGCGTTGGTGGCGGGGGGAGGGGAGTCACCTGACCTTCAGGGCTCAGTTAGAGCATCTTCTGTTTGCCGTGGTGTCCCCGTGTGGGTCCTCTGTCAGTGACAGCCTGACTTCCTTAGCTCAGGATGGCGTGGGCTGGACTGGCAGACACACTCCCGACACAGCAGGCTTGGAGAGAATGCCCCATTTAAAACTGCAAGACCAGTGGAGGAGGCTGTCTTCAGTGGCATCCACGGAGCGCTAGCCAGCGGGCAGCACCTGTGGAATCTCTGACTGTGAACCCGGCTGCAAGGGATGGCTCAGAGCAGGGCACAGAAGGCAGCATTTCAGGGACTCTGACTGGGTTGAAAAGCCCAGGCTCATGACCATCAGATGTCCAAGACAGCCTGTGGGATTGCAGCAACTGATGGATCCGGGATCCCTGTGTCTCCAGCAGGTCTCACGCAAACCTGGATGTCTGCACTTAATTATGACAGCATCCGGTTTGTTTGTGGTTGGTAAATTTAATCAGTTAAATTAAAAAACCATCCAGGAAACCTAAGTCGGGGGTGTCCAGGCGCCGGCAGCTGCCTGGCGGCGTGCCAGCCCTTTGGCCAGGTGGAGAGAGGCAAGCTGCATGGTCACTGTATAAGCATGGCCTTGTGTCTTAGGCACACACAAGACACTGGACACAAGACACTTTACCCCTTACAGTTGCCCCCTGCCCCTGCAATAACTTAGGTGTGCTGCCACCAGGTGGCAGTGGTATCTCAGTATTGTACCCTGATGAGTCCTCTGACCCTTTGCCACGCTCTCTTTCCTGTTACAATGGCAGAGAAACACGAAGCTCTGCTGCCTAGGGGGGTGAGCTGGGGAAGCTGGATTTGAATCCTGATTCTGTTGCTTACTGGTCCAGCAAGTGCTCATTTAATTTGGGTATAAGAATGGAGTCCTGGCCGGCGCTGCGGCTCACTAGGCTAATCCTCTGCCTGCAGCGCTGGCACCTCGGGTTCTAGTCCCGGTCGGGGTGCCGGTTCTGTCCCAGTTGCTCCTCTTCCAGTCCAGCTCTCTGCTGTGGCCCGGGAAGGCAGTGGAGGATGGCCCAGGTGCTTGGGCCCCTGCACCTGCATGGGAGACCAGGAGGAAACACCTGGCTCCTGGCTTCCGATCGGCGCAGCGCCAGCCATGGGGGTTGAACCAACAGAAAAAGGAGGACTTTTCTCTCTGTCTCTCTCTCACTGTCTGACTCTGCCTGTTAACAAACAAAAAACTAGTATGGAGTCCCTGTGATGTGCCAGGCCTGGCGAGGGGCTTTCTGATCCTTTGTCATCCAGCAAATAAGGAAATCAGGGTTCAGAGAAGGCAAGTGATTGTCTCACAGGTGCGTAGTAGATAGCAGTCCAGCTCTGTGGAGCCATTTTGCTTCCTTGTTGGTCAAACCGTGCCTGCCTGTTACACTGGAACTCTTCAGCTCAGCACTTGGGACACGGCCGCGGCCGCTCTCTCCCCTCCTCTGTCGTCATTGGGGTTTGTCCTTCTCCTTTCCTTGTTTCTTGTCTATTTGTATCTGAGAAAAACTCAGTAGAAGATCAGAATTAAGGATATTTAAATAGCCCTCACCCTCAGCCTGAGTCTTTAAATTCCCCAGATGTTGCTCTTGGCTTTTTTCCCCTGCACCAGTAGACGTTGGCCTGTTGCAGCTGCGGGTGCGGGACACACACAGGATATGCTCTTCGGGTTGGGAATCATCACGCCTCAAGCACGGTGCTCCCGCTGTCTCGATCTGCTGACTTGTGCTGGGATCCCTGGGGCCTTGCCCATGGGGGCAGCGTGGCCCGCAAGGCAGCCAGTGCAGGCTGTCTGGGGCTTTAGAGATCTCGGTTACCACCTCAGTCTGCGGCCTGTGGAGCTAGCCCTGCTCAGCAGTGGTGTTCCTGGTGTTGGTCATGCAGGGAGGCAAGGCAGGCACACAGGGAAGCATGTCTGAGAAGCTTCCAGAAAGGGATGGTGGGGAGGTGCTGTCGACATGAGGGCCTCAGGTCGCCTGGTGGCACGAGGCAGAGCATCTATGGCGTTGCCACGCCGTGTTCCTGCCTGCATCCACATGTCGGGGCGCGCTGTTCAGTGGCCTCTGCTCGGAGCTGCGTCGTGTCCGTGTGTCCCCGTGGCTCCCTGGCCACTGTAGTTTGTGGGTGACCTTGTCTCCCTGAGCAGACGCTGCCATTATCGACATCTGCAGAGGGGAAAATCTGAGCTCAGTGCGTGTGAGTCACTTGCCCAAGGCCACCAGGAATGGGGAGGAATGTGACCACCACGGCCCTGCTGCTGTGCTTCCTCCTGGCCTTTTTTTTTTTTTTTTTTTAAAGATGTATTTCATTTATTTGAAAGGCAGAGAGAGATCTTCATGCAATGATTCACCTGATTCACTCCCCAAATGGCCCCAGCAGCCTAGGCTGGGCCAGGCTGAAGCCAGGAGCGTTTGGGTCTGCAGATAGTACTTGGTTCTCCTTCCACTGCTTTCCCAAGCACATTAGCAGGGAACTGAATCAGAAGTGGGACAGCCAGGGCTTGAACTGGCATTCTAATACAGGATGCTGGCATCTCAGGTGGCGGCTTAGTCCACTGTGCCGTAGCACCTGCCCCTCCTGAGCTCAGCAAATGGTGGTTAGGAGGTTCAAGGATGCCCTGGATGCCTGTAGAAGGAGGGCTGGCATCTCCGGCCCCAGGAAGGAGGCTGTGGAGTTGCTATGGGCAGCCAGGACAGGCAGAGCTAAGCCTCCCAGCATCCACCGCAGCAGAGCCCCAGGTCCTGAGGGCTCCCTGGGGAGGCTGCCCTGTTTGCTTTGAGGGGTTCAGCCCTAGAGGCAAATTCCAGGAGGACCCAGAACACAACGAGTTGCACTGCACTAATGAGGCCTGGTTCCTCCCTCAGCACAGGTGCACAGAGGCCGTGGAGACAGGCCTCTGCATGTGTGCGGGGCTGTGAAGGGACAGCCCAGGTAGTGTGACGAGGCCGGGAGCATGCTGCAGGCTGAGGGGCTGTGTGTGTGTGTGTGCATGTGCACAAAGCCCTGAGGACACTGCCCTGTGTCTGTGCCTGAGGTAAGAGGCCCGAGTGCCACCCACTGTGAGGGACAGGCCCGCTTGCGCCAGCAGCCCCGGCCCCCAGGCTCTGAGTCCTGGGCTGAGGAAGCTGGCATAGGCTCCCACTGTAGCCCCGAGATGCCAGAGACCCCTGCTCTGCCGTGCGGAGCTTCTGGTACCTGTGCCCATTTGCTGCCTGAGAGGGGCTCCTTGGGCTGCTGACGGAAGTCTTGGAAGCCAAGCGATTTCATCCCTGGGGATGCTGGGGCAGGAGCAGCCTGTCGTGGGCCAAGGCGCTGGCTTGCCTTCCTGCCTCTGGGCTGATGGGGCCGAGGCATGCGCTTGGCTTTGGGAGAGTCCCCGCCCAGGCTGGTGTCCCTGCCGGCTGTCCGCCCCAGTTCTGCTGCCGCCCACTCCCCAGCAGGGTTTCCCAACCCTCTGGGGCGACTGCAGCCTCATGGTCACCCTGTGTAGGCTTCTGTCTTTCTAGTGACCAGTGGGGAAGGGTGTGTGAGTCGTGGGCATGTGTGAGAGTGTGTGTGAGAAAGAACAT